CTCAAATTATCCTTTGCTATGGATACATTGAGCCTTTCCTTCCCTGAGTGGATTCCTTCCAGATGTGCTGGAGTTCAGGTCCCATAAGGCCCACCTCATGTGGCCACGGTAGCTATGGGATTATGGGACCTGGTGCAACGCATCTAGCAGGGCACCAGATCAGGGAAGGAAAGGCTCAATGTATCCATAGCAAAGGATAATTTGAGGGGGGTCCAAGGTGGTCTCTGAGCTTGGTTGTTGTTTTCTTGCAGACGTTTCGTGACCCAACTAAGTAACATCATCAGGGCTAGGACTAACCCTGATGATGTTCCCCTTGCTGGGTCATGAAACATCTGCATGAATAAACAATCCAGCTCAGAGAATTTACAGATGACAGATTAACAGAGTTGGAAGGGATCTTGTAGGTCACCTAGTCCAACCCCCCCACCCCCACCCTGCCCAAGCAGGAGGCCCTATACCAGGGGGTCTTCAAACTCAACAGCTTTAAGACTTGTGGACTGCAACTCCCAGAATTCCTCCTCCACTCATGTTAGCTCAAGAATTCTGGGAGTTGAAGTCCACAAGTCTTAAAGTTGCCAAGTTTGGGGACCCCTGCACTAGATTCTAGAATAAAAAAAAAGAGAATAACCACACCCACTTCTAGCATTGATGATGTTACCTAGTTAGTTGATGAAACGTCTAAACCAGAGGTCTTCAAACTTGTCAGCTTTAAGACTTGTGGGTTTGAACTCCCAGAATTCCTCCTCCAGTCATGTTAGCTTAGGAATTCTGGGAGTTGAAGTCCACAAGTCTTAAACTTGCCAAGTTTGAAGACCCTTGCCCTCCACCATTTCTGAAAGATGGCAGTCCAATCTCTTCTTGAAAGCCTCCAGGGATGAAGCTCCCACAACTTCTGAAGGCAACTTCTGTTCCATGGGTTGATTGTTCTCACTGTCAGAAAGTTTCTCCTTATTTCCAGGTTGAATCTCTCCTCGGTCAATTTCCATCCATTACTCCTTGTCTGACCACCAAGGGCCCCTCATTTCAACCCTGAGCTACAAATATTCTCCTTTATTGAAACTCCTTCCTCCTCTTTCTCCTAAATCCATGCCACCCCCCCACCCCACCCCACCCGCCTAATCATGTTGGCCTTGTCAAACCTTTTCTTAATTTTTTTTTATCCCTCCCCCTCTCCTTTATCTTCACAATAATCCTGCAAGGTAGGCTAAAAGTTGAAATGGACGGAGCAGCCCAGGTTTCTACTACACAAGCAGGGCAAGCCCCAACAAGAAACTGCGTCCTGGGTTTATTTTATTTGTTTTCCCCTTTGGTTAATTACAAAGCCCTCCTGCCCATGTGCAGGATGCCCTCACTTATCGGAGAGCTTTGTTGTGGCAGGGAGTCCCAGAGGCTAGATGGGAAACAGGAGACAGACTGGAATGGAGACTAATTCAGGCCTGTGGCATTTACTCGACTCTGATGAAATAGTTGGTTCTTAGCCAAGTTTAGGCATAGCTGGGTTCAAGCATGACTCAAATCCTGTGTCCCACCCCGCCAATTGACAGAGAAGGTCACAAGTGGTGATCACATGACCCACAGGAGGCCACAACAGTCATAAGTACATGCCAGTTTCCAAGTGTCCAAATTTTGAACATGTGACTGCAAAGAAGCTGCGATGGTTCTAACCATGAGGACTCTTGTTCAGTCATTTTTTTCCCCTCAGTGTTGTTGTAACTTGAATGAACGGTCATAAGCTGAGGACTAACTAAACGCCATCTTTCATTTTTTTAAAAAAATGTAATAGGCAATACACTCGTTCATTGGCTTCCCACAAACGACTCTGCCCCATCTGAGCCTCATCTAGCATATTGTGGGAAGTTGAGTCCCTCTGGATCAAAGCATACGTTAGAAAATAGAATAGCAGAGTTGGAAGAGACCTTGTAGGTCATCTAGTCCAACCCCCTTGCCCAAGCAGGAGACCCTAACACCATTTCTGTCAGAGAACAATCCAGCCTCTTCTTGAAAGCTTTCAGGGATAAAAGTAAATATGTATACAATTGTATATAAATGTATAGAAATGTAAATAGAAATGATATGCAGCTAGCACTGTATGTGTATCTCTATACTATAGTTTGTATGGCCAAAATGATGGCTGAGAAAGTCGCACTGGGTTCAATTTGTTCTTAATGTTTATTCAATTAAATTTATTTTAAAAAAAGAAAAGAAAGCTTCCAAGGATGAAGCTCCCACAACTTCTGAAGGCAACTTGGGTTGATGGGTCTCCCTGTCAGAAAATGTCTCTTTATTTCTAGGTTGAATCTCTCCTTCTTCAGTTTCCATCCATTGTTCCTTGTCCTGCCTTCTGTTGCTTTGGAGAATAGCTTGACTCCCTCTTCTTTGGGGCGGCCCCTGAGATATTGGAAGGCTGCTATCATGTCATCTCTAGTCCTCCCTTCCATTAAACAAGGCATACCTGCCCAGAGACCCCTAATTTTTACCTCTTGTTTAATCACAGAGGCCTGGAAGCTAATCAAAGAGAGGAATCAGCCTAGAACCAAGGAGAAATTTCCTGAAGGTGAGAACAATTAAGAATTAATTCCAGAAGTTGTGAGCGTCCATTCCTGGAGCTTTTCAAGAAGAGACTGGACAGCCATTTGTGCAAAATGGTGTAGGGTCTCCTGCTTGAGCCAGGGGTTGGACTAGAAGACCTCCAAGGTCCCTTCCAACTCGGTTATTCTCTTATTCAGTGTTGCCTGAGAACTCAGAGCTACGCTGCTGCTGTCTATGGAAGCTCCATCTCTGGGAAGGAGAGTCCTTGAATACATGCCAACAACTTTCAAGAGAATCAAAACAGGATTGATAAGCAGAGAGGGCTTACTTGTTTTTCTATCTTTCCCCCACCCCCATTTCGTAAAATTGCACACCCCAACTTAGTTACTCACCGCTCAGCAGCCCCACGGCGAAGAGTAGAGCAAAGAGTTTCATGGTGATCGGTGGATCCTTTGGAGGTGAGGAAAAAGAGAGAGACGCACATAAGATTCGGGGGTGAATTTAGGAGAAAGAGAGGAGATTTCTTTTTCACACACATCCCAGAAAATGTGGACCCTCTTTTTATTCTGTTCCATTATTCCATTTTATTCCAAGGATAAATTTCCTCCAAAAAGGGGAATTTCTGCATGGCTGGAATCCTGTTGCTAACTCAACACCCAAGAAACCCCTTTAGATCCTGACTATTATTTGCTTCCTTCAAGGTTTCTGCATTGCAGTCCCTGGCATCTGCCCTGGGGTATGGCGGGGGGGGGGGATGTTTAACCATAACCCCTCCCCAAGTTTCTAACCCAGATTGCAACCAGCCACTATCCCAGGAGAAAGGAAGTAGATGAAGAGCCAAAACAAGAACCCACCGAATGGCCAAGTCTTTCACCTTCCTTCCTGCCGACTCTGGGAAGTTTCTCCTACGAGCCCTTCTCCTCCTCGGCAGACTTTTAAATACCCAGCTCAGCCTGAGGGGTGGGTGGGGAATGGAGGAAAGGGGCGGCCCTGGCAGAGTCAGCAGCTGGAAGAGCAAAAAAAATAATAATAAAGTTTGCCATGATGGCATTGGGGACAAAGTTTAATCTCCATCACCACTTGCACATGTCGGCTTAACCCTGACATCTCCAGAAAGGGGTGAATAAAGAGAGAGAAAGAAATAGCGGCGCTTTGCACGCCTCCAAATGGAGGCAGTTTCTTTGCACATAAAGCTCTTTGCACACCTGGGAAAGGAGAGGAGGGGTTTTGTTTTGTTTTTGCATACCCGAGAAAGGAGGGAGGGTTTTTTGCACAACTGGGAAAGGTGTGCAAAGAAATACCCCCTTTCCCAGGCGTGCAAAGAAACTGCCTCCTTTTTCCAGGTGTGCAAACCTGGGAAAGGAGGCAGATCCTTCGCACGCCTGGGAAAGAAGACAGTTTCTGAGATGTCAGGAGACACAAATACCTGGGCATTATTTTCTCCTTATTCCATCTGTGATATTGGGTGTGCTTGATTGATATTTTATTTATTTGTGTGTATTTCTTAATGTAGTTGTTCAATTGGTACGTTGCCCGACACCTGATTAAAAACAAGCCAACAAAACTGAGAGCCAGCTTGGTTCTGGGGGTGAAGGCACCAGGCTTAGAAACTGGGAGACTGTGAGTTCTAGTCCCACCTTAGCAATGAAATCCAGCTGGGTGACTTGGGGCCAATCACCAGGAAACAATGAATTCTAGTGCTACCTAATGCACAAAAGAAGGTTGGGGGACTTGGGGCCAAATACCAGGAGACTGTGAGTTCTAGTCCACCTTAAGCATGAAAGTCCACTGGGTGACTTGGGGGCCAATCACCAGGAGACTGTGAGTTCTAGTCCACCTTAAGCATGAAAGTCCACTGGGTGACTTGGGGGCCAATCACCAGGAGACTGTGAGTTCTAGTCCCTCTTTATACAC